TGAGGGCACTGATGATTCAAGGGTAGAATTCTTACCTCACACGCAGGAGACCCAGGTTTGATTCCCGGCCGATGTACCTCATGTGCCGCCACCACCCATTTGTCAGTGGAGGCTTGTGTGTTGCTCTGATGCAGAACAGGTTTCTGTGGCGCTTCCAGGCTAAGGTGGCCTAGGAAGAAAGCCCTGGCTCTCTGCTTCTGATGGAAAACCTGGTGGCGTAGTGGTTAAGAGCTACCAGCTGCTAACCAAAAGGTCGATAGTTCGAATCCACCAGGTCCTCCTTGGAAACCCTATGAGGCAGTGCTACTCTGTCCTGTCGGGTCACTATGAGTCAGAACCAACTTGACGGCAAGGGGTTTGGTTTGTTTTTTTATCTGCTTCTGAAAATTAGCCAGTGGAAACCTTATGGATCACAACAGTCCAACTTGCAAGCAAGCAATCATGGGGATGGTGTAGGACTGGGCAGTGTTTCGTTCTATTGTGCATGGAATCGCCATGGGTCGGTGGCCGACTACATGGCAGCTAACAGCAGCAGTAACAGTGATCTAGGAGGGAGCACACAGGACCAGTTATGAGGTACTTTGAAAAACAGATGGAATCTGACTCTGCTCCAAACCTTAGATCTAACTATCAGTTTGTAGGAAATACAGGGATTGCAGAATAATAAAACACCATGGACGCAATCAGCCAATTCCAGAATATGGGACATCACACAGGCTGAGCCACCTCATCTCCCCAACAAATCAATGGCATGGAAGAAGAAATGGGAGGACAGAATTCTGAAAAACAATGAAGATGACACAAGAGTGGGCAACTGAGGAAGTCGTTGTGAATGTTGAAAGCCCTATACAAAGATGTTGACTTTAAGGTTATTTTAAATTTTGAAATTTGCAAGTAATATTTGTACAAGGATAGAAGCATGGGTAACTGAATTCTGGTGTATCACATGATGACATATTTCACAACCATTATAAATGACACTTTTAAAGTCTTTAAATACCACCAAAAGAGGCCTGTTACAATGCTAATTTAAAAAAAAAAAAGAAGAAATTGTACTTGCATCTGTGTAAATAGTGTTCTTGCTGTTTGTTGCTGCAGAGTCGGCTCTGACTCATTGGTGACTGTCATGGATTGAATTGTGTTCACTTAAAATATATTTCAACTTGGTTAGCCTGTGATTCCCAGTATTGTGTGGTTGGCCTCCATTTTGCGATTGTAATTTTCCTTTGTGTTGTAAATCCTAATCTCTGTCGGTGGTTAATGAAGCAAGATTAGAGGATTAGGATGGGATTGTAACACCCTTACTAAGGTCACATCCTTGATCCAACGTAAAGGGAGCTTCCCTGGGGTGTGGCTTGCACCACCTTTTATCTTATAAGAGATAAAAGGAAAGGGAAGTGAGCAGAGTAGGGGGACCTCATACCACCAAGAAAGCAGTGCCTGGAGCAGAGCGCATCCTTTGGACCCAGCGTTCCTGCGCAGAGAAGGTCCTGGTCCAGGGGAAGATTGATGACAAGGACCTTTCCCCAGAGCTGACAGAGACAGAAAGCCTTCCCCTGGAGCTGACACCCTGCATTTGGACTTCTAGCCTCCTAGACTGTGAGAGAATAAATTTGTTTGTGAAAGCCATCTCCTTGTGGTATTTCTGTTACAGCAGCGCTAGGTGACTGAGACGGTGACCTTACGTGCAATGGAATGAAACGTTGCCTGCTCCTGTGTCATCTTCATGATTGTGTACATCTATGTAAGAAATACGTGTAGAAAAAAGACTGGAAGAAAATACGACAAGATGCCTTCATTGGTTCTGATTCAATGATGAATCTACACTGATTTAAATCTTTTTCCATTTGTCTCTATTATTCCAGATTTTCCATCATGAACATAATTAATTTCTTCCCTCTGCATCTTTTTACAGCTTTATAAAGGTATAATTAACATACCATAACAGTCATCATTTTAAAAGTTTGGTGAGTTATGTAACTGTACACAGTCCTGCAGTCACCACCACAGTCAGGTTTTAAAGCACTGTGACCCTGTGTGTCACCTCGTATATATTTTTTAAATAGACTTTATTTTTGGAGGAGTTTTAGATTTACAGAAAAACTGAGAAGATAGTACAGAGAGTTCCATCTGCCCATGCCCGGGTTCCCCTATTAACATCGTACATTAGTCTGTAAATGAATAATTTCTTTGATAAGGATCAGCACAAAGCTGGTTCCCCTGAGGCGGAGGTTACCGATGTCCCAAATGTCCAGCTTCTCCAAGCTGCTGTCCTGCTCCATCATCTCTAACCCGACTGCTCCTCCTCCCCTCAGTACTCTCCCTGCTGTCTCCGGGTTCAGTAATTCACTTCAACGTCTCACAGAACTCACGAACCCTGCTTACGATTATGGGGTTTATTAGGGAAGTAACAGGTTGCAATGGAGGCTCAGGATCAACTTGGAAGTAACAGGAGCGACTCAGGATGCAGTTCTTCAATCAGGACAGCTTCTTCTTAGCTTGATGCCACTGGACCCTGGTTGGGCCTTGCTGCCACCTTGCTCTGGGTGCCGGCGAGCCTACCGCAGCTGTCTCACGCTGGTCCCTGGCTCTCACGCTTGTGCCACTGCCGCTCTTGCCACTCTGTCTCTCGTGGTCTTCAGTGTTACAGCCCCTTCTTCTCTCTCTCTCTCTCCATGTCTCTCCCTAAAACCTCTGTCAGGGAAGCTGGTTGTATAGCAAGGTCCTTATCAATTTCAAGGTGTACCCCCCCACCCCAGGAAGACCACGAACTAACCAATCCCCGACAAGGGTTCCACATATCTTATTTTCATTGTCCCACCCATGCAAGGATTCTATGCACCTTATTTGCTTTAGAAAAACTGTCCAATCCCCTTGGTAAGCCACAAGCACCTCATTTGCATAGCCCCACCCAATCATTTTGTGGGAGTTGGAAGACCATGGCTAGAAGGGCCATATGAAAGCAATTCACTGCACTGCAGTATGGTACATTTGTTACAATTAATCAGTGTTGTGTTGCTGCTAGCTGCTATTGAGCCGGTTCCGACTCACGGTGACCCTGTGCACGGCGGAAAGAAACGAGGCTGGGTCTTGCATCATCCTCACAGTCACTGGCGTGTTTGAATCCATCATTGTGACTATTGTGCCAATTCATGTCAGCAAGGGTCTCCCTCACCCTTCGTGGTCCTCTGCTTGACCAAACACGGTGACCTCCTCCAGTGACTGATCTTTCCTGATGACATGTTCAAAGCAAGCAAATCAGACAATGTTCTAATCAACCAATATTGATCATTATTATTAATT